GGGAAGGGAGAGATATACGGGAAGGAGAGGGGGGGAGAGAAGAAGGAGAGAAAGAGATAGAGTGAGAGGAGAGGGCAGAGGAGGAGAGAGAGATGAAGAGTGGGAAAGGAGGAGAGAGAGAGAGAGAGAGAGAGAGAGAGAGAGAGAGAGAGAGAGAGAGAGAGAGAGAGAGAAGGGGGGAGGGGAGGGGGAGAGAGGACTTCTGAGAAGAAGAAAAAAAAAATACATCACATCTGATATTACAACTGGGAATGGCATTCGGCAAGCTCAATCATTGTGTCTCCCAAAGCAAATACCCACTCCCCCCCGCAAGAAAAAAAGGGAAATTCCGAGACACAATAAAGTACACAAAAAAGGCAAGAAGAAGAAAAAAAAATAAGAAGTCTAGGTCGAAGTGCATCGTTAACGTGTTGGAACATCAACTCTGGCGTGGCAATGACATCATAGGTTTTTGCCCGTCGACTGCCAGCGTTCTTGCACAGCCAGCGTGCCAGCTGCGACTGATAGTGTTGCAGGACGCTGTTGGGGGGAGGGGAGGGGTGGGGAGGGGGGGAGTAGAGGAGGTGGGGAAGGGGGGAGGGGAAGAGGAGGGCTGGGAGGAGGGAAGGGAGAGGGGAAGAGATAGGGGATGCACACTAGACAAAGAGGCGAGAAGTGATGAATGCGAGAGGGCGAATGCGCGGGAGGAAAAAAAATAAAGACAACAACAACAAAACACACAATAAAAAAACCCTGAGAGAGTGAGTGAAAGATGAAGTACAGAAAGAGAGACAAAGAGAGGAGAAAGGGTAAAGAAGCAAGGCGAAGCGGAGGCGAAGCGAACGCGAAGCACATGGGGAAGAGGGTGGGGGGGGAGGATCCGATGTCTGCTTCCCAAAGGGCGTAGGAGGAGACGAGCACTTTTCTGTGGATTTGGTATTAAATTCAATTCGTGGGCGGCGCAAAAGGTCATCTAATCGCAGCCTGGGTCTTCGCGACGTCTCTCTTCTCGCCCGAATCTTGAAACCATTAGCCAAAGCAAGGGCCCGGGAGCTATCAAAGCAGGGGAGTGTGTGTTTTTAACCAAAATAAGAAGAAGTAAAAAGAAGAAGAAGAAGAAAAAGAAGAAGAAAAACTCGGGGGTTCCATGTGCTTGCATGGGAGCCCGACATGCTTTTATTGCATGTGGTTGGTTATGTTGCATTTACATGTGCGCCAGCGGATAAATAGATGCGCGCACGAGGCAGCATCGGCGACGTAGGCCTATCCACCTGCGAGCGGCCGTGGCAGCGGAACAGGTGTGGCCGCTCTTGACGCTCCCTCCGCTGCGCCCTTCCCACCCCTTTTATTTATGGGTCTAGGCCTACGGGGCACCCACAAAGCCTCAGCCCCAACCCCACGCCCTCACGACACGCTAACGTATGGGGCCCTTGTATGCCGCCCTTATGAGCGCCCACCGTAATTAAATGCGACGTGGTAATGCCTCCTGTGTCTCTATACGGGCGTCCGCTATCCACCCCCTATCCCCCCCCCCCACCGCACTCCACACCTAGCTAGGGGGGAAGGGGCGGGGCGGGGGAGAGTTACCACAGGGTTAGTGAGTGGGAGTAACAACAGACTCGCCCTACCCCCCCTTGTGCAACTCCCCTCCTCCCTTCCGCCCCCCCCCCCTCCTTCTCCCTCTTCCGGCCTTTTAAACCCTCGCATGACAATCGAATTCGAAATCAACAAGATGGGGCAAGACTAACGCGACAAGCAAGGTCATCTCAGTTACACATTGTACTGAAAGTATATATTACCAAAAAAAAAAAAAAAAAAAAAAAAAAAGAAAGAAAAAAAAACACTGAAAAAAAACTTAAAAAACAACATATTGCAAAAATACCACAGGTCTCTAATACCCGCCACTTTAACACTGATATAACCAGACGCGCCCGCACATCACCGCTTCAATATGAGCGCTCTAACTTTCCACACATGGCTCGTCAAATTATCGAAAAATGGAACCGAAAAATTTGTGTTTGCCCGGAGCAATGTTAAAGCTAAAATTCCCGGCGCGATACTCGTTGCGTAGAGGAAAATAAAAAGAACATTTTTTTTTTTTCTTGTTCAATGTCTGGCATACAAATAGAGGAATGACTCGGGAATTTCGTCCACTTGCAAAATTTCTTTAAAATTCTCAACTCATTATCGTATGTTGAAATGGCCTGCCATGTGTGCGTGCGGCGTTTGCGTGTGAGCTGCGTGCGTATTCTTCTTCTTCTTCTTATTATTATTATTATTATTATTATTATCATTATTACCATTATCATTATTATTATTATAATTACTATTACTATTATCGTCATTATCATTATTATTATTACCATCATCATCAACATTATTGTCATTATTACTGTGTGTATGTATACCATAAATACGTATGTATGTATGGGATGGGTGTGACGCTGAAGCGGATGTCTGTACATTCAAGTATGTATGTACGCGGATGACTTAACAAGCTGAAGTGACAAACGATCCCATTTAACCTTCTGTGCCTAAAGATGGCCGTAATGAACGGAGCGGGAACCCTTCCCTGGCACACACGTACATACATACATACAGTACGTCCTTATCCTTGACTTGATGGTTCACTCCCTCCCCCGCCTCTTGCCCCCCCCCCCCTCTGAACCCACACGGCCCTGGCACTGTGCGGTCGCATTCAAAAACAGCGCGAAGTTTAGTCGTTTCTCGTGCTCGTCCAGTACTCACTGCCGCGCCGAGCAAAGTTCATGTTTTCATCAACTTGGCTAAAATGTCGTTGTTCATCAAGCAGAAATACCATGCGCATGACATTTCCACGACCAGCAGTCATGTACGGTTTACCACTAGCCCCTAGAGCCTGTCCAGTGCGTCTGCCAGCGTCCATGAGCACCGCGGCGCGAATGGAGCCAATCCGAAGCACTGGCCCCTCAGGCATCGCAAACGACCCCGTCGGAGGTAGTTTCCGTCAGGGCCTCCTGCAAGCCTCGTTTCCCCTTCCCTCCCTCTTCTTTTTCTCCTCCTCTTCCTTCTCCCCTTCAGTCGCTCCCCCCCTCCTCCCCCCTCGCTGCGATCGCCCCGCTGGGACGCGCGAGGCGACAACACCGCCAGGCCTTAATTCGCCGCAATGAATGGGCGCCGCAAAAGGCCCGCTAAGGTCAGGGCGCCGAAGCCTTTTTGGTCGTGGGAAAGGTCGCCCCCCGCCGGCAGCGCCACCAACACGACGCGCGGCCGCTGAGGGATCGCCTTCTTGGGAGCCTCGCGCCCTGCCTGAAGAGCGGCGAGGCTTTGCGGGGGAAGACAAGACTATTTACTGTGATTGTGTGTCAAGTGACCCAAGCCTGGCGCTGCTGACAATGCGTGCGTGTGGAGGGGGAGAGAAAAGAAGAAAGTGTACACAAAGAGGCACCCAGAGCAGGGAGGCACTCGTAAACAAACAAAGCCGTATCGCATGTAAATAATCATAAAAACACATGTGACGATTTGTTTACACCCAAACAACATCCAGAAGAATATAGTTATCAAAGAAAGCGCAAATTATCCTACTCACTCACACACGAATACATGCATACATACAATATGTGTGTGTGTGTGTGTGTGTGTGTGTGTGTGTCTAGGTGCGCGTGTGCGTAGGCGTGCGTGCGCATGCGTGTGTGTGTGCCCGCGAGTGTGCGCATGTGTACCCATGTATGTGCATAGGGGGGCCCACAAGAGCCGCCAGCGATCGCACACAAGAAGCCTTTCCGTGTATCAAGCATGTCATCGCTACGAACAGACCGGCGGGACGGACTGAGGCATTGAGCAGTCGAAATAGAATGGCGATTTCGCGTGCGGTTTGCACACTGTTATTCGCAAACGTCCCCCCTCCCCCTCTCCCTCCCCCCGCTTGGAGATCTCGGAATACCACACCACGCCAAAGGAACTTGATAAAACACACACACATATGCACAACCCCCACCCCTCCCACGAAACACAAACAAAAAATGAGTAAAAAAGAGAGAGGGACTGAACCCTCCCTAAAAAAATAACACCACCAAAATAAATAAATAAACAAATAAAAACTCCCACGACACCAAACCTCGAAATCCCAGCCCCTACCCCCCACCCCCACCCCTCTACCCCCCATAGCTCCGACAGCGAACCGGGGTCTCTCTTTCGCCGCCCGAACCCGCTGGACTCGCGGCCCAGAGTGAGTCGGGCGTTAATTGCAGCTTTATCTCTCGCCTCATAAATATAAAGCGCCTGAGAGACACCTGTGGCAAGGGCAGCGTGCGTGGGGGGAGGGGGAAGGGAGGGGGGAGGGGAATTGGAGAATGAGGGAACGGGGAAGAGGGAAGGGAGACGGGGAATGAGAGAATGGGAAGGAGGAAGAGGGAAGGGGGAAAGGGGAGAAGGAGTGGGGGTGGTAGGCGAGAGAGAAAGAGAGGGTGAGGAAGAGGGTGAGGGAGTGGAAAAAAAGGATGGAGGGGTAGGTAGAAGAAGGATAGGACGGATGAGGAGGAGAAGGACGAGAAGGAAAAGTGGATGGAGAGCGATAGATCCTTGGCTTAACGAAGAAGGAGCGGCTGGTGTATAAAGGTGCGGCGAGATGGATCACACATCTTATCTACCTTCCTTATCTCTCTCCCTCTCCCCCTCTCCTCTCCATATTCATCCCTTCTTCCTTCCTTCTAACCTTATCCTCCCTTTCTCTCCTTCTCCCTCCCGGCTTGCAACACTAAACTTCCATCAGATCTCACGTGATCAACAGGTGTAAAACTTGGGTATTTTATCACAAGTTGCAGTGCAATTCTGAATCACTAGCCATGGATGTACATAAACATATTATATATATAATGCATGACAGCATAATCGAAAACCTGAATGACAATTCAGTTTCTAGTTGATACGGAGAAGAAGAAGAAGAAGAAGAAGAAGAAGAAGAAGAAGAAGAAGGAGAAGAAGAAAAGTAGAAAAGTAACTACAACATCAACTCCAAAAACGCAAATCTACAGCACTCTTACCTGGCTCCAATGAGGAGGGAATCCCCGTCTCTCTGTAATAGTCTGAAGTAGTCCGTAACGCTACTGTTTCCCGGGAAGATCTGCGCCTCCAACTCATCTGCGGGAGAGAGAGAAAAGGCAACATTATGCATATGTTCGACATAGACAAAAGGGAAAAGAAGGAAGACATATAAAGAATAAGTAAATAAATAATAAAATAAAGATATAAATCGCAAGAACTCCGACATTTAGATATTTTAAAAATCTATTTATTATTATTTTTTTTCTATGACGGGGGAACTCATTACCACGACACACTGAAAGTTTCCCCCGCAGGCAGTGCTTAATGCAGCGAGTGATTACATCGCTTCCAGATTAATTCTACGTGCGACCCGCTTTAATCTCCCTCTTTAAAACCGAGCGCCTGGAATGCCGAGTCACCGTCATCGCCGCATAAACTGCAATGCACAGCAACGGCATGACGAGAGGGGCCCGCGCATGTGCATGACCCTGGAGCCTGTCCGTCAGTCAGACATGGAGAAGCACGGGGGAGGGGGGGGGTAATGTTGCAGCGCCTAGTGCAGCGTCGCCACAGACAACCAAACTACGGAGAGATGGGAAGCGAGGGGAGATCACGCACGCACGGACCCGCCCAAGTTTACAATAATTTGCATAATATATTCCCCGTCTGACGACTCGCAGCACGCATGCCAGGGATACCTGCCTCGCTCCTCCCGCGCCCAGGTCAAGAGCAGCAATGACGACCCGATAATGAAGATAATCACAGCGAAAAAAAAATGTCTCTGGCGCCGGAGGTGAGAGTGACGGCGACTGCACCAAAAGCAAAGACAACAAAACCAGTAAAATAACTCTTAAGAACCGTCGTATCCGAGCCAGTGGAGCGGAGTGGGCCCGGGCAGACACCGTAGCCATATCACTCCCCTGGGGGAGGAAATGGGCCTGGGGGAGGGGGAGGGAGGAGGAGGAGAGGGGAGATACTGTAGCTCTGGGCCTCGGAGCCATAAAGCGGCAGTCCAGGTCACGGTGCACCTGCTGGCACTGCATCTGGCACCCTGGCATATAAACATCTACGGCCCTTTGCTCTTTATGCTAGATCTGCAGACTTAACTTAGTTAATGTGCACGCAGTTCAAGTGTTACAGTTAAGGCATGTGCACATGAGTTAACAGGCGCGCGCACACACACACACACACACACACACACACACACACACACACACACACACACACACACACACACACACACACACACACACACGCGCACACGCACACGCACACGCACGCACACACACTATCTATCTATTTATCTATCTCTCCACCTACATATACTTATGAAATATATGTGCACGTGCATATGGCTCGTATAAGCTTGGTGCACTGACGCAAAGTGGAGTTGCGGCGCCGGCTGAATGGCAGCATAAACTCCGATAATGTTATTTGACAACCATCCCCCACTGCTGTTCGCTGCTCGCTCGCCACGCTGCGCCCTCGCCCTCGCCACCCACATTTACGTTCTTGTCCACTTCTCGTTCTCTCTCGTTCGTCACGCTTCCGTTCTCCTCGTCCGCTCTTCTTCCTCTCCTGCCCCTATTCTCTTGTCTGCTCTACCTCTCTCTCCCTTCTTCCCTTCTTCTCGCCCGCTTTTCCTCTGTCGTCCCTCTTCCCTTCTGCTCTTCCTCCGTTTCCTGCCTTCTCGGAAATCAAAGCTGCGGTTTCCAGGAAGGTTTCTCTCGTTTCTTGGTACTTTCCCGAGTGATTCCCATGGTGGATCTCATGGTATAACGGTACCATATTTTATCCCTTACAGATATATTTTCATCTACATCTTTTGTGTATCTGTTACCTGTCTGTGTTTTGTTCTGGCCCGTGTGTGTGGCTCTTTGGCTGCCTGAATGCCTCTCCGCCCACTAGCTAAAGTTGCATCGTGAGAGTTCGAGGTTTTGTTGCAAGAGCCTAATATCACTGCTATTACACGACCGACACCAAACGCGGCTAAGAGGTCTGCGTAGTGTATATACACGGACCTTCCATTTTCCGAAAATTTATGGCCGCCCATAAGGAAAGCAAACAGCATAAAAATGAAATATCCTCGTCCCTCCTTCTCTCGCCGGCCTCCCTTCGTATTATCTTTAGCTCGAGAGTGACAGCGGCAGAAACTTTGTGTTGTTTAACTTGGCTCCTCGGGACACGCGAGCGGCCGCGCCCTCCAATCCACGCCCAGTAGCAGGCGTGTGTAAACATAGGAACGGCGGCCGAAATGCGCGGGGATACGAGCGGGCGCTCAAAGGCGGGGACGCAGGCAGGACGTGGACGCAGGGCGTGTGCTCGGCGGAACAAGGCGAGATAAGCGCGGAGGATGGCCCCGCCTGAGCGTACGCGCGGCCGCCCTTTCCACGACGTCCGATGGGGGGCGGAGATACGGGCGCGGAAGGGCGTCACAACCCGGCCTCCCGACTTCGCCTGCGTGTGTGATATCCACGATAAGCCTCCTTTAAGAGCCGCAGGAGGCGCTACCGGGCCATGCGCTCGATCCGTCTCGCCCAGGTCGTGCCCTGCGCCGGCTCGCCCCTTGCAGGAAGGCCTCTCCCATGCGCGCAGACCCAGCCATGGCGCTGGGTTCCCACTCCTTCCCTCCGCCTTTCTGCCTGTCTGTTCGTCCGCCTCCACCTCCCTTCGTCAGCCGCGGCCCGCGTTCTCGCCTCTTACTTCCGCCTCGCGACCTTGGCCTCTCTGCCTCAACACACAGCTGGCGACCCCCGCTGGCTGGCCCGGCGACCTCCGGCGACACCTCCACGTGTTTGCTGACCCTCCACCCCCTCCCGCTGCCCCTCCATGACCTCTCCGACGCGGCTTCCTGCCTCGCCACCTTCAGCTACATCAGACTTTCACAAATCAATAGCACTCCTTATTGTGTGTGCGGCGCAGTTAACATTCCACAGATTGTAAAATGTGAACACAGTGGAGGTATGTATATACGTGTGGGATGTGTGTGTGTGTGTGAGTGTGCATGTATATGTGCCTGAGTACGTATGTACGTATGTGCTGCCCAACCCTATCCGATCTCCTGCCATAACTTTGTCGTGACGTTGCTGCTACCGCTGCAAATTGCACGTTGAGTTGATTACCTCTCAAAAATTCTTGTAACCTGAACTGGAAAACGAGATGTGAAACATTTTATTCACTTCTAAATTAAACAATGGCACCCCGCACTGGCCTCCCGCAACAATAAACATTACCATTTCACTTTCCTGTTAAACCCAGCTTTAAAATATTTTGCATGCGGGCGAAAACAAACAAACAGACAAACAAAAAAAAAATCCCGAAAATAAAATAAAATATTCAAAGTCAAAGTGGCCTTCAAACACAGAGGCTTCGACGTCCATGTGTGGCTCAATATGTTTTCATCAATCTGTACATAAATATTTCCCCTCTTTATTCCCCGTCATCTATCTACTCTCTCCTTCATATATCCATTTCTCACTTTAACCTCTATGGATTTTCGTGCTCCTATACTCGCTACAACGTATATGTATATAAATCTTCAAAAAATGCGTGTCGACGTAGATCTACAGCGCGACTGCCTGTTGTTTGTCTCGTTACGTGAGTGAATGCTGCACGCGACTGCATTACATTGTGCTATATGCTACGACTGTTTGTTACGAGGTCGGGGCGGGGGAGGGGAAAGAAGAGGAGAGGAGGGGAGAGAGGAGGAGAGGAGGGGAGAGAGGAGGAGAGGAGGGGAGAGAGGAGAGGAGGAGAGGAGAGGGAAGAGGGAGAGAGAAGAGGAGGAAGAGGGAGGAAGAGAGAAGAGGAGAGGGGAAAGGAAGAGGGAGGAAGAGAGAAGAGGAGAGGGGAAAGGAAGAGGGAGGAAGAGAGAAGAGGAGAGGGGAAAGGAAGAGGGAGGAAGAGAGAAGAGGAGAGGGGAAAGGAAGAGGGAGGAAGAGAGAAGAGGAGAGGGGAAAGGAAGAGGGAGGAAGAGAGAAGAGGAGAGGGGAAAGGAAGAAGGGAAGGTTTGGAAAGGGGGATTGGCGTACCCCGTCCTCGGATGTCGGTATCCCAGGATCTATCTGTTTCCGTTCATTAGGTTCCCTCGGCTATCTATCCCCATCGACATATACCCCATTAGGGGCAAACAATAGAAGGGAGAGCGTAGGCATCGCAAAGTGACCCTGGACAGCCTTCTGTGGCCCTGAGTAGCTTCGTGAACAAGGGATGGGGGGGGGGGGCAAGGTGCACAGGCGCCTCTATGCCTCTCCCTTTGCCCCTACACCTTGTAGCAGGTACCAAAGCCCTTGTACCAAACGGTAGCGAGTGGTATCTCCCGCCAGGATCAACAGCCGCCTTGTGAGAGACCGGGGCAGGAGAAGGCGCAGAGAGGTGCAAGGAATGAGCAAGATAGAAGCTCGTTTGGGAGGCGTCTGGGTGTACGAGAATCGGCAACAGAAGGGGGAAAGACGCAAGGCATTAGGAGATCGAGGCATGAGTGAGGATGAAGCTTGGGCCCGAAATGCAACAACCAGCACACGTAAACTTCCCCAAAGCCCGCCCCTTCATGCTTCGAATTTTGAAGCTCCAGATATCGGTAATGACCCGCTGAATGCCTATGCAAATCATGTTTAACAATTAGAACTCCTCCGGCATAAACTCGCTGAGCTATCCTATAAAGAACCTCCCACAGAGTATCCTTCGGTCCCCACCAAGACCCGGCGATCCTGTGGCCAAACAAGATCAGGGGCCCCCTTGGCCGTCGGGGACAGACGACGAGGCAAGCCAGGTCCCCAAGGAGCCTCACATTCTGGATCACGTCAACCCTCCTTCGTATGAGGAGCCCTGGCCACCCTCCTCCTCGCCGCCCTCCTCCTCCTCCTCTCCCCCCTCCCCCCTCCTTCTTCGAACTCCTCCAGAACCAGTAATCTCTAGCAACCTCCTTCATCCTTATGCCTCACCAGCGCCAGGAGGTCAACCCCCCGTGAGTAGGACTTATTTGCATGAAAAGGGCAGCGCTGGATGCAAGCCGAGGAAGCAGGCAAGGTATACCTCCAGACACACACTCGCAGCTCCCTCTTGCCCCCCCCCCCCCCCACACACGACATATTCTC